TTTCTATAGAAAAGTGATTAAGGGGAAGATTTCTATAGGAAACCGCATACAGAATACTTCTTCTATAGAAAACTTTCTTGAAAATAAACATTTACATAAAAAAAAGTTCTTATGAAGAAACCTTTCTACAGAAAATTGTCTAAAGAAAACTCTTTTCTATAGAAAATTGTCTAAAACAGAGACTATTCCATAGAGAACTGTTTAAGGAGGAGATTTTTATAGGAACTGGATAAAGAATATTTCTTCTATAGAAAACTTTCTCATAAAGAAACATTTATATAAAACTGTTTAAGGAGGAGATTTTTATAGGAACTGGATAAAGAATATTTCTTCTATAGAAAACTTTCTCATAAAGAAACATTTATATAAAAATCTTCTTCGGTATAAGCTTTTCTACAGAAAACTGTCAATAGAAGACATTTTTCTATAGAAAACTCTTTAAAGAAGAGATTTCTGTAGAAAACTATCTAAAGAAGACTTCTTCTATAGAAAATTTTCTTGGAAAGTAACATTTTTATAAAAAACCTCTTAGGAAGGAACTATTCTACAGAAAAACATTTTAAGAAGTCACTTTTATAAGAAAGCTGTCAAAAAAGGATACATTTCTATAGAAAACTATCTAAAGAGATTTTTCTATAACAAACTGTCAAAAGAAGATACTCTTTATACAAAACTGTGTAATACTTCCTTTATAGAAACTTTCTTAAGAATACAATTTTCTAAGCAAAACTATTTAAAGGACCTATTTCTATAGAAAGCTGTTTAAAAAAATACTGTTTTCTATAGAAAACTTTCTTAAGATGGCATTTTTTATAGAAATTATTAAAAAAATTAAATTTTTCTATAGAAAACTGTCAAAAGCCGAAGCTTTTCTATAGAAAAAAACAGTTTTTTAACGAAAACTTTCTTAGGCAGAAACTTTTCTATCGAAAAAGTTTCTTAGAATGCAACTTTTCTATAGAAAACGGTTTAAAGAACACACTTTTCTATACAAAACTTTCTAAGAAATTTGTTTACCATCAAACAGGGCCTATAGATTACAATATGTTAAAAACTTTTTCCAAAATTTGTTAATAATAATAAAATTTGCCAAATAAATTACTTTTCTAAAAACAAACAATTTAAAATTTAACTTAAATATATATTTTAAAAATTTTAGCTCAATTTGGTATAAAATAAACCAATTAAACTAAATTTAATTATTGAAATACTTTTCCTTTAAAAATTGTCCAAATATTTGAAAAATTTTGAGATTTTTTTTACTGTTTAACATAATTTGTTTAACATTAACTAAATTTTTGAATGAAACTTATTTTTCATAAAAAAAATATTTAGTTGTTTTTAATATTATAACGGACAGGTCCTTTGTTTTGTTTTGTTTCCATTTTCTTTAATTTTTATTATAATTATTTTTGCAAAAAAATTATTTTAGTTTTCTTTTATGTTCAATATGTTCAAAGTTTTTACATTGTTATTTTGTTTTATTTTTCTTTTGGTTTTTTATACTTTATACTTTTTTGTTGTAAATATTTAATTTTGATTAATTTGTTTTGTATGATTTTGGTTTATTTCGTTTTTTTAAGCTTTTAGCAAATAATTTTTGTTATAACACTGTGTTTAATTTATTATTTAATTTTTTAACATATTTTCAACAAATTCTTGAAAATTTTGTAAAGAAATAGTTTGAAAAAATTAAGTCATTTAAAGGAAATTTTCAATTAAAAGTCTGGCCAGCAAAAAGGTTTTCTAAGGATAATGAAAACAACTTATCACAGAGAGTATAGAATATGAATTGATTGTTTTAAAGATATGGAATCAATTTTTGTTAAAAATTTATAAATGCATAGAAGTTTTTTGTTTTTAAAATGGTTAATTAATATATAAAATGTAAACAGAATTGAGGCGCTGACATCTGACTGTAATATAACTAAAAGGAATCTTAAAAGGACCAAAATTTTTAATTGAAAAGAACTATTGAACATATAATTGTTCTAAAGAAGTTTTCGAACATAAGAAAGGCACATGTCAATAGAAAACTAACTAAAGAAGACATTTTTCTATAGAAACTAAATCAAAAAATATATTTTTCTATAGAAAAATCATGGAAAGAATACATTTTTTCTTAAGAAAACCATCAAAAGTATAAAAATTTCTTTAGAAATCTCACTAAAGAAGACATTATTAATAAACTCTGTAACAAAGACAAGATTCTATTAAAAACCGCCTTAAGGAAACACTTTTCTATAGAAAACTCTATAAAGAACACATTCTTTCTCTAGTAAACTGTCTAAAGAATACAATTTTCTATAGAAAACTGTCTAAAACAGATCTATTTCTATAGGAAACTATTTAAATAAGAAATTTTTAAAACATTCTAAAACAAACATAATTTCTATAGAAATCCGTCTTAAGAAAACAGTTTTATAAAGAAAATTCTATAAAGAACACATTTTTCTATAGTTAATTGCTAAAAGAATACAATTTTCTATAAAAAAAATGTATAAAGCAGACCTATTTCCATAGAGAAAATGTTTCCTTAAGACATATTGTAATAACCTCTCTAACAAAGAGACTTTTATAATACTCGGCCTTAAGAGAACACTTTTATATAGGAAACTTTATAAAGATGACATTTTTCTATAGAAAACTGTTTAAAGAAGACATTTTCCTACAGAAAACTGTTTAAAGAAGACATTTTTCTATAGAAAACTGTCTAAAAAAGACATATTTCTCTAGAAAACTATTTAAATAGGACATTTTTAAAAACTTCTTTAATAAAGTCCCTTTTCTATATAAAAAGACATAAAAAGATAACATTTTCTATAGAAAACTTTTTAAACAGACATTTTTCTATAGAAAACTGTTTAAAAAATACATTTTTCTATAGAAAACTGTCTTAAGCAGAACTATTTCTATAGAAAATTGCTGAAATGAAAAAGTTTAAATAACCTTTAACAAAGATCATTTTTTCCTATAGAACTGTGTCTTAAGAAGACATTTTTCTAAAGAAAACACCTTAAAGAAGCTATTTTTCTATAGAAAACTGTTTAAATAGGCTATTTTTCTATAGAAAACTACTTAAATAAGACGTTTTTTTTAAACTTCTTTTATTTAACTTCTTTTTATTAAACTCTTTAACAAAGATACTTTTTTCTATAAAACTTTGTCTTAAGAAGACATTTTTCTAAAGAAAACTCTTTAAAGAAACTATTTTTCTACAGAAAACTGTTAAAAATTAAATTTTTCTATAGAAAACAACTTAAAAATTACATTTTTCTATAGAAAACTACTTCAATAAGACATTTTTTGAAAACTTTTTAATAAAGACTTTTTTCTATATAAAACTTATTGTCTTAAGATAATATTTTCTATAGAAAACTGTTAAGAAAAGACATTTTTCTATAGAAAACTGTTTAGAAAAGAAATTTTTCTATAGAATACTATATGAAGCAGACCTATTTCTATAGTAAAACTGTTAAAATGAAAAATTTTTAAATAACAATAAAAAATCTACATTTTTCTATAAAACTCTGTCTTAAGAAGAAATTTTCTATAGAAATTTGTTTAAAGAAGCTACTATTCTATAGAAAACTCTTTAAAAAAAACATATTTTCTATAGAAAACCATGTATTTTAATAAGATATGTTTAAAAATTTCTTTAATAAAGATCCTTTTTATAAAAATCTGCTTTAAGAAGACATTTCCTTTAGGAAAACCCCATTTTTCTAAAGAAATCTGTTCAAAAAAGACATTTTTCTATAGAAAACTGTTTAAATAAGATATTTTTCTATAGAAAACTGTCTTAAGCAGACCTATTTCTATAGAAAACCTGTTGAAATGAGAAATTTTTAAATAACTTTTAACAAAAACACTTTTTTTACTAAACTCTGTCTTAAAAAGACATTTTTCTATAGAAAATTGATTGATAACTAATCCTAGAAAACATTTTTCTATAGAAAACTGCTTAAAAAAAGATATTTTTCTATAGAAAACTATCTAAAGGAAACATATTTCGAAAGAAAACTGTTTAAATACGAGATTTCGGATAACCACTGTAACAACTACACTTTTTTATAAAACTCTGTCCTAAGAATAGATTTTTCTATAGAAAACTGTCTGAAGAAGACAATTTTCTGTAGCAAAATGTCAAAAGTATACAATTTTCTATAAAGCAAACTGTTTACATTAGATATTTTTAATAATTTCTGCAACAACGAATGAACTTTTATAAAAATCTGTCTAAGGAATAGCATAAAGACAACATTTCTCTATAGAAAAATGTTCGAAAAAGAAATTTTTCTATAGAAGATTCACTAAAGGAAACACTTTTCTATACAAAACTAAACAAAGAAATATATTTTCTATAGCAAATAGTTTAAATAAGAAGAAATAAGAAGAGAGAGAAATCTATAGAAGACATTTTTCTATAGAAAAGTGTCTAAAGAAGACTCTTTTATATAGAAATCTATTAAATTATAAAACTTTCTTAATTATCAAGTTGTTTATTTAGATCTAAAATAAAGCTAATATAAAAAAGAACTATTTTTAAAATCTTAAAAGAAACTAAGGATCTTATACCCAAACCGGGAAGGCAAATTTGAATAAAAATTTTCATGCAAATATTGTTTAAATGTCAAAATATTTAGATTAATAGTAATTAATACCTTTCTGCTGGTTTACAATGTAACTTAAATAAAGAAATAATTAATTTTAGTAGTAAAAGATAACCTAACAAATTGTTTTTGAAAAAAATTTTAAATTAAAATGCAAAGAAATAATTTTTTATTAATATTAAAGTAGTAGTTGAAAGTAGCAATAAAAAAATTGGGATTAATTTTCATTATTTTGCTAATTAAATAATGATTGAGTTATTTTCGTTATCTTTTTTGTTGTTGTTGTTGTTTGTTTAAATTATAATAATTAGCGTAAAAATACAATTTACATTTAATTTGAGTTCATTTGATTTTTGTATTTTTGTAGCTGTTGTTGTTGTAGATTCTTTGTTGTTATTATTATTATTATTATTGTTGTTTTCATTATCAATATTGTTAATTAAACTAAAATGCTGTTGCTGCTGCTGTTGTATTGAATGTTGTTGCTGCTCCTGCAGCTGCTGCTGTTGTTTATATTTTTCCGTTTGTTTTAAACGTACCTTATTAATTTGTTGTATTGTTGTTTGTGTTGCATGTGTCTGTCAAACTTTATTGTTATTGGGTGCTCGGGCAGTTGCCTCATATGCACCACGTCCTAAAGCAGCATAAGCATCAGCATATAAATCAGGATTATGCAAAGATGGCGGTCGATTATAATTTACTGGTTGCGGAACGACGACTATAATAATGATTTTTTTTTGTTGTTAAAAGAGAGAAAAAATATATTTTAATAGTATTTTTAATAATATAAAGTTATATTTATTTGTTAGGCAATGTAGGTTAGTGGACTTGTTAGTAAAAAATTTAAAAAACACCATGCCATTGTAATTTGCTTTAAATTTAAAACGTTCTGCTTGTCAAGTAGAACAGAACTGGAACTAAACTAGAACTGAACTGGAACTGAACTAGAACTGAACTAGAACTGAACTAGAACTGAACTAGAACTGAACTAGAACTGAACTAGAACTGAACTAGAACTGAACTAGAACTGAACTAGAACTGAACTAGAACTGAACTAGAACTGAACTCGAACTGAACTAGAACTGAACTAGAACTGAACTAGAACTGAACTAGAACTGAACTAGAACTGAACTAGAACTGAACTCGAACTGAACTAGAACTGAACTAGAACTGAACTAGAACTGAACTAGAACTGAACTCGAACTGAACTCGAACTGAACTAGAACTGAACTCGAACTGAACTAGAACTGAACTAGAACTGAACTAGAACTGAACTAGAACTGAACTAGAACTGAACTAGAACTGAACTAGAACTGAACTAGAACTGAACTAGAACTGAACTAGAACTGAACTAGAACTGAACTAGAACTGAACTAGAACTGAACTAGAACTGAACTAGAACTGAACTAGAACTGAACTAGACCTGAACTAGAACTGAACTAGAACGAACTAGAACTAGAACTGAACTAGAACTTGAAACTAGAACGGAACTAGAAACAGGAACTAGAGCTGACACTAGAAACTGAAAGACTGAACTAGAACTGAACTAGTACTGAAGACTGAACGAACTGAACTAGAACTGAACTAGAAACTGAACTAGACTGAACTAGAAAACTAGAACTGAACTAGAACTGAACTAGAACTGAACTAGACGGAACTAGAACTGAACTACACTGAAATAGAACTGTGAACTAGAACTGAACCTAGTAACTGAACTAGAACTTGAACTAGAACTGAACTAGACTGAACTAGAACTGAACTAGAACTGAACTAGAACTAGAACTAGACTAGAACTGAACTAGAACGAAACTGACTGAACTAGAACTGAACTAGAACTGAACTAGAACTGAACTGAACTAGAACTGAACTAGAACTGAACTAGAACTGAACTAGAACTGAACTAGAACTGAACTAGAACTGAACTAGAACTGAACTAGAACTGAACTAGAACTGAACTAGAAACTGAACTAGAACTGAACTAGAACTGAACTAGAACTGAACTAGAACTGAACTAGAACTGAACTAGAACTGAACTAGAACTGAACTAGAACTGAACTAGAACTGAACTAGAACTGAACTAGAACTGAACTAGAACTGAACTAGAACTGAACTAGAACTGAACTAGAACTGAACTAGAACTGAACTAGAACTGAACTAGAACTGAACTAGAACTGAACTAGAACTGAACTAGAACTGAACTAGAACTGAACTAGAACTGAACTAGAACTGAACTAGAACTGAACTAGAACTGAACTAGAACTGACTAGAACTGAACTAGAACTGAACTAGAACTGACTAGAACTGAACTAGAACTGAACTAGAACTGAACTAGAACTGAACTAGAACTGAACTAGAACTGAACTAGAACTGAACTAGAACTGAACTGAACTAGAACTGAACTAGAACTGAACTAGAACTGAACTAGAACTGAACTAGAACTGAACTAGAACTGAACTAGAACTGAACTAGAACTGAACTAGAACTGAACTAGAACTGAACTAGAACTGAACTAGAACTGAACTAGAACTGAACTAGAACTGAACTAGAACTGAACTAGAACTGAACTAGAACTGAACTAGAACTGAACTAGAACTGAACTAGAACTAGAACTAGAACTAGAACTGAACTAGAACTAGAACTGAACTAGAACTAGAACTAGAACTGAACTAGAACTGAACTAGAACTGAACTAGAACTGAACTAGAACTGAACTAGAACTGAACTAGAACTGAACTAGAACTGTACTAGAACTGAACTAGAACAGAACTAGAACAGAACTAGAACAGAACTAGAACAGAACTAGAACAGAACTAGAACAGAACTAGAACAGAACTAGAACAGTAGTAGAACAGAACTAGAACAGAACTAGAACAGAACTAGAACAGAACTAGAACAGAACTAGAACTGAACTAGAATTGAACTAGAACTGAACTAGAACTGAACTAGAACTGAACTAGAACTGAACTAGAACTGAACTAGAACTGAACTAGAACTGAACTAGAACTGAACTAGAACTGAACTAGAACTGAACTAGAACTGAACTAGAACTGAACTAGAACTGAACTAGAACTGAACTAGAACTGAACTAGAACTGAACTAGAACTGAACTAGAACTGAACTAGAACTGAACTAGAACTGAACTAGAACTGAACGAGAACTGAACTAGAGCTGAACTACAACTGAACTAGAACTGAACTAGAACTGAACTAGAACTGAACTAGAACTGAACTAGAACTGAACTAGAACTGAACTAGAACTGAACTAGAACTGAACTAGAACTGAACTAGCACAGAACTAGAACAGAACTAGAACAGAACTAGAACGGAACTAGAACAGAACTAGAACAGAACTAGAACTAGAACTAGACAGAACTAGAACAGAACTAGAACAGAACTAGAACAGAACTAGAACAGAACTAGAACAGAACTAGAACAGAACTAGAACAGAACTAGAACAGAACTAGAACAGAACTAGAACAGAACTAGAACAGAACTAGAACAGAACTAGAACAGAACTAGAACAGAACTAGAACAGAACTAGAACAGAACAAGAACAGAACTAGATTTAACCCGTGGTTAGTCTTATCTTAGTTTGTTATATTCAAAAGATAAATAAATTGCAAATAATAATTAATAAAAACAATAAAATAAAAATAAATTTATAAAATAATATTAAGAAAAATACATGCACAAACCAAAAACAACAACTATATACAAAACAATTTTATTCTAAATAAGAAAAAACAAACTTGCAAAAATCAAAACAAGCAATACAAAAAAAAAAAACAAAATCTATGTAATTAAACTAACTAAAAAATAAAACAAAAATTTAAAAAAAAATCAATCATACCAATTATGAGATCTTTATGATCACGTTTTCTTTCTAAACTTTTATATTAGAAATTATGAAGTTTTGTTTGGATATTAGGGTTTTTTCATATAAAAATATAGTAATTAAAGTGTCTTTTTAACAGTTTTTTTATGTTATTTATATATCGTGTCCTAGGAATCAATAAACAATATTACGTCGAGTTTTGCCAGACTTTTGATTGTGTGTTTGGTCTTTAGCTTTATGTTGGCTTTGTTTAGCCGCTGTAGAGGATGAGGAGGATGTGTTTGTACGTGATGACGGGATTTATTGCGGACTTCAACTATAAAAATATAAGGTGAAGGAGGTAATTTTGTATATGAGTACCTTCTTAAAAAAAGAACATTTACAAATGTAATTTTAACGAAATAAAATTGTAAAGAACTGAACTAAAAAAAATATTTTAAATAATTATAAAAAGCACGAAATTATTAAAAAATTGCTAAAAAACATTTAAAGGAAATTGGAAAAAATAACGTTTTGAGAATCTAATAACTGTTTATTCTAGAAATCTGAAAAAAGAGATGTAAAATATGTAATAAACTCGAACAGAACATGAATAGAACTGAGCTCGAATTGATCTAAAACTGAACTAGAACTGAATTACAACTAAACTAGAACTGAACTGAAATAGAACTGAACTAGAACTAAACTAGAACTAAACTAGAACTAAACTAGAACTGAAATAGAACTGAACTAGAACTGAACTAGAACTGAACTAGAACTGAACTAGAACTGAACTAGAACTGAACTAGAACTGAACTAGAACTAGAACTGAACTAGAACTGAACTAGAACTGAACTAGAACTGAACTAGAACTAGAACTGAACTAGAACTGAACTAGAACTGAACTAGAACTGAACTAGAACTGAACTAGAACTGAACTAGAACTGAACTAGAACTGAACTAGAACTGAACTAGAACTGAACTAGAACTGAACTAGAACTGAACTAGAACTGAACTAGAACTGAACTAGAACTGAACTAGAACTGAACTAGAACTGAACTAGAACTGAGCTAGAACTGAGCTAGAACTGAACTAGAACTGAACTAGAACTGAACTAGAACTGAACTAGAACTGAACTAGAACTGAACTAGAACTGAACTAGAACTGTACTAGAACTGAACTAGAACTGAACTAGAACTGAACTAGAACTGAACTGAACTAGAACTGAACTAGAGCTGAACTAGAACTGAACTAGAAATGAACTAGAACTGAACTAGAACTGAACTGAACTAGAACTGAACTAGAACTGAACTGAACTAGAACTGAACTAGAACTGAACTGAACTAGAACTGAACTAGAACTGAACTAGAACTGAACTAGAACTGAACTAGAACTGAACTAGAACTGAACTAGAACTGAACTAGAACTGAACTGAACTAGAACTGAACTAGAACTGAACTGAACTAGAACTGAACTAGAACTGAACTAGAACTGAACTAGAACTGAACTAGAACTGAACTAGAACTGAACTAGAACTGAACTAGAACTGAACTAGAACTGAACTAGAACTGAACTAGAACTGAACTAGAACTGAACTAGAACTGAACTAGAACTGAACTAGAACTGAACTAGAACGGAACTAGAACTGAACTAGAACTGAACTAGAGCTGAACTAGAGCTGAACTAGAACTGAACTAGAACTGAACTAGAACTGAACCAGAACTGAACTAGAACTGAACTAGAACTGAACTAGAACTGAACTAGAACTGAACTAGAACTGAACTAGAACTGAACTAGAACTGAACTAGAACTGAACTAGAACCGAACTAGAACTGAACTAGAACTGAACTAGAACTGAACTAGAACTGAACTAGAACTGAACTAGAACTGAAGTAGAACTGAACTAGAAATGAAGTAGAACTGAACTAGAACTGAACTAGAACAGAACTAGAACAGAACTAGAACTGAACTAGAACTGAACTAGAACAGAACTAGAACTGAACTTGAACTGAAACTAGAACTGAACTAGAACTGAACTAGAACTGAACTAGAACTGAACTAGAACTGAACTAGAACTGAACTAGAACTACTAGAACTGAACTAGAACTGAACTAGAACTGAACTAGAACTGAACTAGAACTGAACTAGAACTGAACTAGAACTGAACTAGAACTGAACTAGAACTGAACTAGAACTGAACTAGAACTGAACTAGAACTGAACTAGAACTGAACTAGAACTGAACTAGAACTGAACTAGAACTGAACTAGAACTGAACTAGAACTGAACTAGAACTGAGCTAGAACTGAACTAGAACTGAACTAGAACTGAACTAGAACTGAACTAGAACTGAACTAGAACTGAACTAGAACTGAACTAGAACAGAACGAGAACTGAATTACAACTAAACTAGAACTGAAATAGAACTGAATTACAACTAAACTAGAACTGAACTAGAACTGAAATAGAACTGAACTAGAACTGAACTGAACTAGAACTGAACTAGAACTGAACTAGAACTAAACTAGAACTAAACTAGACTGAACTAGAACTGAACTAGAACTGAACTAGGACTGAACTAGAACTGAACTAGAACTGAACTAGAACTGAACTAGAAGTGAACTAGAACTGAACTAGAACTGAACTAGAACTGAACTAGAAGTGAACTAGAACTGAACTAGAACTGAACTAGAAGTGAACTAGAACTGAACTAGAACTGAACTAGAAGTGAACTAGAAGTGAACTAGAAGTGAACTAGAAGTGAACTAGAACTGAACTAGAACTGAACTAGAACTGAACTAGGACTGAACTAGAACTGAACTAGAACTGAACTAGAACTGAACTAGAACTGAACTAGAACTGAACTAGAACTGAACTAGAACTGAACTGAACTAGAACTGAACTAGAACTGAACTAGAACTGAACTAGAACTGAACTAGAACTGAACTAGAACTGAACTAGAACTGAACTAGAACTGAACTAGAACTGAACTAGAACTGAACTAGAACTGAACTAGAACTGAACTAGAACTGAACTAGAACTGAACTAGAACTGAACTAGAACTGAACTAGAACTGAACTAGAACTGAACTAGAACTGAACTAGAACTGAACTAGAAACTGAACTAGAACTGAACTAGAACTGAACTAGAACTGAACTAGAACTGAACTAGAACTGAACTAGACTGAACTAGAACTGACTAGACTGAACTAGAACTGAACTAGAACTGAACTAGAACTGAACTAGAATTGAACTAGAACTGAACTAGAACTGACTAGAACTGAACTAGAACTGAACTAGAACTGAACTTGCAAATTTCACATCTCTTTTCCCCCTAGATTTCTCCTATGGCATTCCTATCAAAGTGAAATCTTTAAAAAACACACCTTTCGGCGCATAGTATGCTTGTTGTGGCAGTTGTTGTGATTGTTGTTGTTGCGTTTGTGCATTGGACGGCAGGGCGGGTAAAGGCATTTGGGCACGTGATAAAACACCTGCACCACTAGTAGATGAACCCGGCCCAACAATCGGTGCACCCATATGTAAACCACTACCAACACCACCCGCACTATTAGACGATGGACCACCCAGACTGGGTGGAGCATCAGCATACCCATGTTGTGCACCCGATCTAGAACTGCTAGGTTGTCTAGATCCATTTGAACGTGAACTACGTCCTCCGCCACCACCTCCAGGTGGTCTACCACCAGCTGCGGAACGACTCGCATGACTACTGGCGCCCGGTAATGGCACAACACCTTGAGCAGCAACTACACCAGCACCGCCAGAACGATGATGGCGATCCCATTCGGGAGGATAGTTGCGTTGATGGGAACGTGAGTCATGTACTGGCGGTGGTATACTGCGTGGTCCGGCAGCACGACCATGTGGATGACGCTGAGGATTATAAAAGAAATGTAAACAAATGATTTATCAAATCTGACAACGACAACTTACCATTCGTCTTAAGGTATTCATAGGAGCACGTAGTGTTTCTGATATTCTTCTAGCTCTACGCTTTTTAGGATTTGAACTGGGCGTGTGCACGGCACAACACTTGATGAATATGCCCATGACAATTATGAAACCAATACTCATCAATACCACTATATACCAATTTTCCGTAATCCATTGAGCCACCGTTAATAGTGTCTCACGATTCAACAGTAAATTCTTCAAGCGCACCAAAGGACCATCAGCATCGACGGCTCGACATTTAAGGAACACATCACAATAACCTTGGAAATTATCACAAGGAGAACCGGGACGTAAACTTATACCGCCCACTGGCAAACCAAATAAATGAGCAAATTCTGACGTACTTCTACAAGTACCGGTATCATTGCCATTCTGGCAAGCTAATTCACACAATTTCCTTTTATCTACATGCGGCTGCTGCTGAGAGGTCAAGAAGCATTCCGACATATTCCACAGCAAACAAATCGAACCCGAACATTCGCCGCGTATACACAAAGCTGTACCATTATTGCACTTTGTCTTATCATCTCGCGGTTTGGGTTCGGGACATTCGGCTGTAGTGCCGTTGCAAGTACTCGACCAGGAACATTCTGTTTCCTCTTTACATTTTTGATGATAGTTGCTGGGTACAAACGTACAGGAGTTGGACAAACAGCAGGGACCCTGCGAGGGTGAACACTGTGTCTTAGCACGACGTGTACAGCCTCTAGCGGAACTATTAAGGGAGAGATCGTATTCACTAATTAATCTAGGATAACAACACTTGTCTTTGCATTCTTCTTCATTGAAGCCACAATCACATTCTTCGCCTTGCTCCACAATCTTATTGCCACAGAAGGCTCCTTCTGAGACCTTGAAACAATCACGTTTCATATTGCCCACTAAAACATCTAAGACATTGGATATATTACGTATGGAACATGAAGAGAATTTTGAGTTGTTTGGCCGATCACCAGAAGTGGCACTGGCAAACATAATGAAATTACCACTCAGCCCACCGGGACGACATTCTTGGGGATAGTCGTGCTGGAAAAGAAGAGAGACAGGTTTAGGATATACATATTTTTGTTAAGTTCTGGTTCAGTTTTAGTTCAGTTCTGGTACACCTCTAGTTCAGTTCTAATTCAGTTCCAGTTCAGTTTTAATTTAGTTCTAGTTCAGTTCTGTTCTGTTCTGTTCTGTTCTAGTTCAGTTCTAGTTCTGTTCTAGTTCTGTTCTACATCTGTTCTAGTTCTGTTCTAGTTCTGTTCTAGTTCTGTTCTAATTCTGTTCTAGTTCTGTTCTAGTTCTGTTCTAGTTCTGTTCTTGTTCTGTTCTAGTTCTGTTCCAGTTCAGTTCTAGTTCTGTTCTAGTTCTGTTCTAGTTCTGTTCTAGTTCTGTTCTTGTTCTGTTCTAGTTCTGTTCTAGTTCTGATCTAATTCTGTTCTAGTTCTGTTCTAGTTCTGTTCTAGTTCTGTTCTTAATCTGTTCTAGTTCTGTTCTAGTTCTGTTCTAGTTCTATTCTAGTTCTGTTCTAGTTCTGTTCTAGTTCTGTTCTAGTTCTGTTCTAGTTCTGTTCTAGTTCTGTTCTAGTTCTGTTCTAGTTCTGTTCTAGTTCTGTTCTTATTCTGTTCTAGTTCTGTTCTAGTTCTGTTCTAGTTCTGTTCTAGTTCTGTTCTAGTTTAGTTCTGTTCTAGTTCTGTTCTAGTTCTGTTCTAGTTCTGTTCTAGTTCGTTCTAGTTCTGTTCTAGTTCTGTTCTAGTTCTGTTCTAGTTCTGTTCTAGTTCTGTTCTAGTTCTGTTCTAGTTCTAGTTCTGTTCTAGTTCTGTTCTAGTTCTGTTCTAGTTCTGTTCTAACTCCGTTCTAGTTCTGTTCTAGTTCTGGTCTAGTTCTGGTCTAGTTCTGTTCTAGTTCTGTTCTAGTTCTGTTCTAGTTCTGTTCTAGTTCTGTTCTAGTTCTGTTCTAGTTCTGTTCTAGTTCTGTTCTAGTTCTGTTCTAGTTCTGTTCTAGTTCTGTTCTAGTTCTGTTCTAGTTCTAGTTCTGTTCTAGTTCTAGTTCTGTTCTAGTTCTGTTCTAGTTCTAGTTCTGTTCTAGTTCTGTTCTAGTGCAGTTCTAGTTCTGTTCTAGTTCTGTTCTTGTGCTGTTCTAGTTCTGTTCTAGTTCTGTTCTAGTTCTGTTCTAGTTCTTTTCTAGTTATGTTCTAGTTCTGTTCTAGTTCTGTTCTAGTTCTGTTCTAGTTCTGTTCTAGTTCTGTTCTAGTTCTGTTCTAGTTCTGTTCTAGTTCTGTTCTAGTTCTGTTCTAGTTGTGTTCTAGTTCTGTTCTAGTTCTGTTTTGTTCTAGTTCTGTTCTAGTTCTGCTCTAGTTCTGTTCTAATTCCGTTCTAGTTCTGTTCTAGTTCTGTTCTAGTTCTGTTTTAGTTCTGTTTTAGTTCTGTTCTAGTTCTGTTTTAGTTCTGTTCTAGTTCTGTTCTAGTTCTGTTCTAGTTCAGTTCTAGTTCTGTTCTAGTTCTGTTCTAGTTCTGTTCTAGTTTTGTTCTAGTTCTGATCTAGTTCTGTTCTAGTTCTGTTCTAGTTCAGTTCTAGTTCAGTTCTAGTTCAGTTCTAGTTCAGTTCTAGTTCAGTTCTAGTTCAGTTCTAGTTCAGTTCTAGTTCAGTTCTAGTTCAGTTCTAGTTCAGTTCTAGTTCAGTTCTAGTTCAGTTCTAGTTAGTTCTAGTTCTAGTTCAGTTCTAGTTCAGTTCTAGTTCAGTTCTAGTTCAGTTCTAGTTCAGTTCTAGTTCAGTTCTAGTTCAGTTCTAGTTCAGTTCTAGTTCAGTTCTAGTTCAGTTCTAGTTCAGTTCTAGTTCAGTTCTAGTTCAGTTCTAGTTCAGTTCTAGTTCAGTTCTAGTTCAGTTCTAGTTCTGTTCTAGTTCTGTTCTAGTTCTGTTCTAGTTCTGTTCTAGTTCTGTTCTAGTTCTGTTCTAGTTCTGTTCTAGTTCTGTTCTAGTTCTGTTCTAGTTCTGTTCTAGTTCTGTTCTAGTTCTGTTCTAGTTCTGTCTAGTTCTGTTCTAGTTCTGTTCTAGTTCTGTTCTAGTTCTGTTCTAGTTCTGTTCTAGTTCTGTTCTAGTTCTGTTCTAGTTCTGTTCTAGTTCTGTTCTAGTTCTGTTCTAGTTCTGTTCTAGTTCTGTTCTAGTTCTGTTCTAGTTCTGTTCTAGTTCTGTTCTAGTTCTGTTCTAGTTCTGTTCTAGTTCTGTTCTAGTTCGTTCTAGTTCTGTTCTAGTTTCTGTTCTAGTTCCGTTCTAGTTCTGTTCTAGTTCTGTTCTATTCTGTTCTAGTTCTGTTCTAGTTCTGTTCTAGTTCTGTTCTAGTTCTGTTCTAGTTCTGTTCTAGTTCTGTTCTAGTTCTGTTCTAGGTTTCTGTTCTAGTTCTGTTCTAGTTCTGTTCTAGTTCTGTCTAGTTTCTGTTCTAGTTCTGTTCTAGTTCTGTTCTAGTTCTGTTCTAGTCTTGTTCTAGTTCATGTTCTAGTTCTGTTTCTAGTTCTGTTCTAGTTCTGTTCTAGTTATGTTCTAGTTTCTGTTCTAGTTCTGTTCTAGTTCTGTTCTAGTTCTGTTCTAGTTCTGTTTCTAGTTCTGTTCTAGTTCTGTTCTAGTTCTGTTCTAGTTCTGTTCTAGTTCTGTTCTAGTTTCTGTTCTAGTTCTGTTCTAGTTCTGTTCTAGTTCTGTTCTAGTTCTAGTTCTAGTTCTGTTCTAGTTCTGTTCTAGTTCTGTTCTAGTTCTGTTCTAGTTCTGTTCTAGTTCTGTTCTAGTTCTGTTCTAGTTCTGTTCTAGTTCTGTTCTAGTTCTGTTCTAGTTCTGTTCTAGTTCTGTTCTAGTTCTGTTCTAGTTCTGTTCTAGTTCTGTTCTAGTTCTGATTTAGTTCTGATTTAGTTCTGTTCTAGTTCTAGTTCTGTTCTAGTTCTGTTCTAGTTCTGTTCTAGTTCTGTTCTAGTTCTGTTCTAGTTCTGTTCTAGTTCTGTTCTAGTTCTGTTCTAGTTCTGTTCTAGTTCTGCTCTAGTACTGTTCTAGTTCTGTTCTAGTTCTGTTCTAGTTCTTTTTCATTTACCGGTGAACCAAAATTATGCCCGATTTCATGTGCCAAAGTCAATTGTGATACTTTGGGCGGAACCCGGCTATTGTAGTTAACAAACGTTATGATTCCCGTATTCAGAGAACGTTTTGTGCTTTGATATTGACCTCCCACGGTCTCGGTATACGTTTTATATTTCTCACAAATGCCACCAGAAGCTCCCGAGGCACTAGCCACCCAGGCTAAACCCAAAGTGCCGCCGGTAAAATCTCTGTAGGTGAAAACATAAGCCAAACAAAAGTCCGAATGATCCTCCAGGGAATGTAAATTAAGAAAATTCGAAACATCCATATGTTCGTTACAGAATGCATTGTGTGGGCCATTATAGGAAGTGCGGCAAGCGGAATCATCATCAATTTTAATACGTTGCACCTGTGAGAGTGTAATAGAGGGAGAGAGAGAGAGAGAGTACAAATTAAAAAAATAAAAGTGTTAACGGAAATTGATTTTTAAATAATAAATCAAGGATTGTATTGAGTGTTTCCGCTTGTTATTTTTGTTTATAATACAACAAAAATTATAAAAACACGAAAAGAATTTATTTGTGGTTTGATAATGAATTAATTAAAATTCATGTAAGCACTTTTGCCGTGTTGTTGCTGCATAAATATAGAGTTTAATGCCGGCATAATGACCATTATTGCCACTTGCTGCTGCACATTCAGCCAACTTTAGTGGAGCATTTTAACACACACACACATAACTGTGCCAGGTGACTGAATATATTGGTCATAAATGCTTAAACATTTACCATTCCTATGTACATAGGTAGTAGTGACTTACCTCAAAACGTATATTTCGATGTTCGGTACGTCCATCGAATTTCGTATTGCGGTAAATGTAATTAACAGCCGTAACGTGATGTGCTATTAGCGATGTGATTTCCTCGCGCGTCTTAATGTCCCTTTCATATTTATGACTACGATCATGCTGTAATAAAAAAATTTAACCAAAAAACACATTTAAACATTAATAAAAATTACAAAAATTAAATGCATACGTAAACAGAAATTATAACCAAATGCTATTAAAACAATTTAAATAAAATGAAAATAATTATTGTTTTATATAATTAATATTAAATTTAACAATATGTTGAAAATCCTTAAAAAAAAAAGAAATGACCTATTAAATCTGTAGGCGTATGCAAATTCTGTTACATTTTATAAACAACTTAATTTTAAAATCCTGCATAATTTAAACCCTTTATTTACAAAACATTATTCTAATTCTAATTCCACCCTCGTTATTGCGACAAATAAACGTCTAATATAACAAACATTTGAAAACAGATGCGGGGTAAAATTGCCAACAAAAAGAAAAAAAAAAAACCAAAAAGTATTCCAGACATTAATTAATAAAAATGCAAATTCATCGACTGACGAAGAGACGTACGAACAAACAATGAACGCCAGTTTTAGTCCCCCTTTAGTTGAAAACGGAATCTAAATCACAAAATATAAAAAGTAAAAATCATTTACTTAATGTTAGAGGATGTATGCAAAAAAATCCAAAAAAAAAAGTTTTTATTGAAAGCTTACAAAAAAGGCCGAAAACGGGAGGTGGATTGGAATGTGAGAAGGATATACAGACACACTATACAACCAACAACAAATAAACAATCAAACATCAAGAAGGATGCTTCAGCAAACCATATCAGCGTAAAATGCCAGGAAGGCAGAAGTTTTAAAGAGTAAAACTTATTAATTAAAAAAGTTTCTAAAACTGAACTGCAATTCAACTAGAACTGAACTAGAACTGAACTAGCACTGAACTAGAACTGAACTAGAACAGAACTAGAACAGAACTAGAACTGAACTAGAACTGAACTAGAACTGAACTAGAACTGAACTAGAACTGAACTAGAACTGAACTAGAACTGAACTAGAACTGAACTAGAACTGAACTAGAACTGAACTAGAACTGAGCTAGAACTGAACTAGAACTGAACTAGAACTGAACTAGAACTGAACTAGAACTGAACTAGAACTGAACTAGAACTGAACTAGAACTGAACTAGAACTGAACTAGAACTGAACTAGAACTGAACTAGAACTGAACTAGAACTGAACTAGAACTGAACTGAACTAGAACTGAACTAGAACTGAACTAGAACTGAACTAGAACTGAACTAGAACTGAACTAGAACTGAACTAGAACTGAACTAGAACTGAACTAGAACTGAACTAGAACTGAGCTAGAACTGAACTAGAACTGAACTAGAACTGAACTAGAACTGAATTAGATCTGAACTAGAACTGAACTAGAACTGAACTAGAATTGAACTAGAACTGAACTAGAACTGAACTAGAACTGAACTAGAACTGAACTGAACTAGAACTGGAACTAGAACTGAACTAGAACTGAACTAGAACTGAACTAGAACTGAACTAGAACTGAACTAGAACTGAACTAGAACTGAACTAGAACTGAACTAGAACTGAACTAGAACTGAACTAGAACTGAACTAGAACTGAACTAGAACTGAACTAGAACTGAACTAGAACTGAACTAGAACTGAACTAGAACTGCACTAGAACTGAACTAGAACTGATCTAGAACTGAACTAGAACTGCACTAGAACTGAAATAGAACTGAACTAGAACTGAACTAGAACTGAACTAGAACTGAACTAGAACTGAACTAGAACTGAACCAGAATTGACCTAGAATTAGTTTACTATAAGTCTATCAAATTTCATTAAAATCTGAGCTATAGTTTACAAGTTATAAACCTTTTTGTTAAGCTGCTATTATCAAAAAAACGAACCCTTTATCACTAACCACAATAAAAAGCAAATCGTTGCATGATAACAAAACAATAACAACAATCAATCACAAGTTGTTATTGCAATTTACACACAATTTATTGCCATTTGTTTACCTTTTTATTAAACTCTCCTTTAAAAAATAAGTAAACAAACTCTCCTTATTAATAATTGTTATTATTGTTGCCAAAGCCTGCATTTTACTAATACTCTAAAACCCAATTAATTTGTAAACTCTCCCACTCTCCTTTAAACTCTCCTCTATTTATGATTGTTTTTGCATCAGCCTGCAATTGCTTCCTCTTTTTCTACAATTTACTTTAGTTTGTCGCGTTACTTTCAAGAACAAGTGTCAACATTTTATTAATTGAGAAAAAAATTGTTGAAAAAACTAATTTTAATAAATTGTTTTTAATAAATATTAGTAAAAAATAGTACAACAAAGTAATAGTTTATAAAAAATGTTAATATTTCTCAAAAAAAGTGTTTTATTAGAGTTAAAAGCTAAATTCTAAAAAAATTGCTAGTCATGCCAGTTTTAGGAATTGGTGTGTTAATTTTTGTTGTTTTTCAGTGTCAAAGTTTGTTGTTGTTGCAATTACAGGCAACTAAAAAGTGCCAGTTTATAGTAAAATAGTAAAAGAAATAGCAACAACAACTACTAAAGCAAAGCAAATCTAAGCATGTTTAAAATGCTTAATGCAGTGTTTTTGTATATTTCTGTTCAAAAGTGTGGCCCTGTTAGTGTTTTAATTTGTTCACCTAAGCGTTTTTACAGGCTCAAGTTGAAATATTATTGGAAATTTGTGAAAAAACAACAGTAAATAAAGCCTAGCAAAATTCATTATTTTCATAAGTTCATAAGTGTGTGTTGAAAAAGTATGGCTCTTATAGTGCTTTTTAAAGCATTTTATCATACATACTCAAGTTGGAGTATAAAAAATGGCTAATATTGCTAAAAATCTTCCAGGACAAAGGGCATTTAAGTCTAAAAAAGGTAAGTTTTGATTTTATATTTAAAAATTTGGAAAATTAAAAAAAAATTTATTGTTTTATTATTGTCAAAATCAAAGATGGAATATTATGTGTGGGAATTTAAGCAAAGATGGGGAAAAAAATTTAAAAATTAAAAAAAAATTATTTACAAAATTTGGAAAAATAAATATGTATGCAAATTGAGGTGTTATTTGTAACTCTGGTACCAAGGACTATGAACCTACTTAGAAACATATAATTATACATGTAGATCCCGGAGTAAATGAGAGCTAGAACTGAACTAGAATTGAAGTAGAACTGAACTGAACTAGAAGTGAATTAAAACTGAACTAGAAGTGAACTAAAACTGAACTAGAACTGAACTAGAACTGAACTAGAACTGCACTAGAACTGAACTAGAACTGCACTAGAACTGAACTAGAACTGAACTAGAACTGCATTAGAACTGAACTAGAACTAGAACTGCACTAGAACTGAACTGGAACTAGAACTGAACTAGAACTGAACTAGAACTGAACTAGAACTGAACTAGAACTGAACTAGAACTGAACTAGAACTGAACTAGAACTGAACTAGAACTGAACTAGAACTGAACTAGAACTGAACTAGAACTGAACTAGAACTGAACTAGAACTGAACTAGAACTGTACCCCGTTTCTGTAACTTTTAGTGAGAAGTTCGCACATCGAGAAGTGTGAAACAAAAAATTCCATCGTTTCTCGATTTGTGAGTAAAAAGTGTTTCTGTAACTTAAAGTGAGAAGAGGCTACACGAATTACGTTTTTATTGGAAATTTCCAATAAAACAGCTGTCAAAAATATAAAAATTAAAAGAAGAAAACGAACAAATTTATAAATGAAGAATAAATAAACAAAAAATATAGAAATTAAATGAAAATTGTTCGAGAAATTATCCCACTAAATTCGCCCTTGCCAAATTCTAAGTTTACGCCCACGTACTTTTTTAGCATTTGCTTCTGTATATCCGAAATTCCTCGTATTTTCTAAAAATTAGTGAACAATATTTATGTTAATCTTAATTAATTATAAATATAACATTACTTTTTCATTATTTCATAGAATTCGTGTTTAAATTAATTTTTTTTTAATTAAAATTTTACTTTCCGCACCGTTTTAAAATGTGAGTTTTTTTGACAGTTCATGTGAGAAACTTCTCACAAAATTTTCTTACAGAAACACTTTTACTCACAAATTTCCAATAACTTACTTCAAAAAACATAAATGACAGATAGTTCTCACAAAATTTTCTTATAGAAACACTTGCATGTGAGAAATGATATTTTGTTTCAATTCACATTGTTTTTTCTTCAATTTCACTGTTTCATGCGAGAAACATCTCGATGCGAGAGTTACAGAAACGAGGCACTGAACTAGAACTGAACTAGAACTGAACTAGAACTGAACTAGAACTGAACTAGAACTGAACTAGAACTGAACTAGAACTAGAACTAGAACTGAACTAGAACTGAACTAGAACTGAACTAGAAATGAACTAGAACTAAAATGGAACTGAACTAGGACTTAAACTGAATTAGAACTGAACTAAAACTGAACGAGAACTAAACTAAAACTGAACTAGAACGGAACTAGAACTGAACTAGAACTATTTGTATTACAATTAAACTAGAACTGAACTAGAACTGAACTAGAACTGAACTAGAACTGAACTAAAACTGGACTAGAACTGAATTAGAACTGAACTAGAACTGAACTAGAACTGAACTAGAACTGAACTAGAACTGAACTAGAACTGAACTAGAACTGAACTAGAACTGAACTAGAACTGAACTGAACTAGAACTGAACTAGAACTGAACTAGAACTGAACTAGAACTGAACTAGAACTGAACTAGAAACTGAACTAGAACTGAACTAGAACTGAACTAGAACTGAACTAGAACTGAACTAGAACTGAACTAGAACTAGAACTGAACTAGAACTGAACTAGAACTGAACTAGAACTGAACTAGAACTGAACTAGAACTGAACTAGAACTGAACTAGAACTGAACTAGAACTGAACTAGAACTGAACTAGAACTGAACTAGAACTGAACTAGAACTGAACTAGAACTGAACTAGAACTGAACTAGAACTGAACTAGAACTGAACTAGAACTGAACTAGAACTGAACTAGAACTGAACTAGAACTGAACTAGAACTGAACTAGAACTGAACTAGAACTGAACTAGAACTGAACTAGGACTGAACTAGAACTGAACTAGAACTGAACTAGAACTGAACTAGAACTAGAACTAGAACTGAACTAGAACTGAACTAGAACTGAACTAGAACTGAATTAGAACTGAACTAGAACTGAACTAGAACTGAACTAGAACTGAACTAGAACTGAACTAGAACTGAACTAGAACTGAACTAGAACTGAACTAGAACTGAACTAGAACTGAACTAGAACTGAACTAGAACTGAACTAGAACTGAACTAGAACTGAACTAGAACTGAACTAGAACTGAACTAGAACTGAACTAGAACTGAACCAGAACTGAACTAGAACTGAACTAGAACTGAACTAGAACTGAACTAGAACTGAACTAGAACTGAACTAGAACTGAACTAGAACTGAACTAGAACTGAACTAGAACTGAACTAGAACTGAACTAGAACTGAACTAGAACTGAACTAGAACTGAACTAGAACTGAACTAGAACTGAACTAGAACTGAACTAGAACTGAACTAGAACTGAACTAAACTGAACTAGAACTGAACTAGAACTGAACTAGAACTGAACTAGAACTGAACTAGAACTGAACTAGAACTGAACTAGAACTGAACTAGAACTGAACTAGAACTAAACTAGAACAGAACTAGAACTCGAACTGAACTCGAATTGAACTAGAACTGAACTCGAATTGAACTTGAACTAGAACTGAAAGTGAACTAAAACTGAACTAGAAATAAAATAGAACTTAGAGTTTTCATTAATTTAATACCCTGCCATTTCGCGCTTTAACCATGACGAGGGCATCAAACAATTTTATTTTCGGTAACGAAGAAAAATCCAAATAACAACATCAGGGAAAATGGCGATTCCCTTATGTAATTGCCAAAACGGAAGAGAAGTGTAAAAAAAGTAACAAATGTCAGGAATTTTTGTATTTTCAATTCTTGACGGTTTTCAGCGTTTATTTTTCAATTCGTGGATTTTTGTTTCGCTACAAAAATGTTTTTTTCTGCATATTTACTTACATCAGCGATTCCTTCACGTATATGACGCCAAATCAATGGATCTGTTTGTATATATAACGAGCAGGTATTCTTATTATCCTCACGACGGGCGGAAGAGCCCGACGAACCGGATGCACGTCTTACGCGCTCATGAACACGTTCATGCCAGTCTGTATCGGTGGGTTGTAAACGACGCCCTGTTTCAGGATCATAAAAATAACCAGCACCAGCTGTGGCAGCAGCCACCTCATCGTCATCATCATCATCAGCATCGCTTTCACCTCCATCACTGGCAGCGAAACGAAAATTTGCTTCTTTTGTATACTTTTCATAAGGATATTTAAAATCATCCATGGCACCATTGTTTTGGTTATTATTATTGTTGTTGTTGTTGTTGGCATATTTTTTCGGTGGTTGTGTGGAAGTAGATGAGGCGATGGTGGCTGTTGTTGTTGAGGATGTGGTTTTTTGTTGTTTACTTTTACTACTTGTGTTATTATTACTAGTCTCCTTTTGCTCCTCTTCAACTTGCGCATCCTTTTCATCATCATCGACATCCAATATAATTTTATCTTCCGCTGGTGCACGTTTCTTGGGGATTCTTTCGTCCTTTGACATTGGTGTAGGCAATTCTTCAACGGCTGAATTTTGTATATTTTCCATCCATTGGGAAACTTCATCTGTTATGCCACAACCACCAACATGGCCTAAAAGAAGAAGCAAAAAAAAAGAAATATGGTTAAAACAAGTGGCAAACAAAAATATGGCAACAACAACAAGCAACACTCCACTATTAAGGATAAAAAAAGTATTCTGAATGAAAAGTAATTCACGGCGAGAGAAGAGGGAACAATAAAGTGGCGGTTGTTTGGTTCGATTGTTACTGAAGAGTTGGTCCTTCTGTCTGTTTTTCTGCTGCTTGTTGTTGCTGTTGTTACAAGTTATGTGGCTTTATCGAATGACAAGAAAAAATAATATAAAAAACAACATAAAAAAATTAAAGAAAATTATGGTTGTATAAAAAAATAAAAAAAACAGAGAACGGTTGAAAATATGAAGTAACATCATGACAATGATGACCGTCGTCATAGTCATCATCTTCTTTGTACCCATCATGAATAGTTAATGATGGCCAGAAAATATCTGAAAAAAAGACGAACGAAAAAAAATTCTCTGGAAGGATGAGGTCATAAAACTGTCACAAGGATAGTGTGGAAAATTGTAATTAAACGACAAATAGGATTTATTTGCCAACAAGTTTCTTGAATGTAAATGCCGAGAGAGAGAGAATAAAAAAGAAACGATTTAAAAATTTAACATAGATTATTACCAAGGAAATATTAAGATTATTTTTGGGGAACAATTTAAATTTAAAGAGAAAACATGGTTGGGGTCTAGTCTCAGAGGATTTGCAACAGGGATGAAGAGGTATTAACTTTCAATGTATATGTAATATGGGGATTATATATAATCAGCTGACTATAATGTAGTCTAGTGCTGACTAAATTATAGTCTAGTATATTGACTTGAGTGTAGTCTAGTCAATTAACTTGAAAGTTGTCTAGTCTAGTGACTAGAGTGTAGTCTAGTCTATTGACTATTAACTAGAATGTAGTCTAGTCTACTAGTACTCTGTAGTCTACTATATTAACCAGGTTTGGTCTTGTCTATTTACTAACCTATTTACCAGATTGCAGTATAGCTAGTTTCAATTTCTGTTCAAGTACTGATCTATTTCTGTTCTAGTTCTGTTCTAGTTCTGTTCTAGTTCTAGTTCTGTTCTAGTTCTGTTTTAGTTCTGTTCTAGTTCTGTTCTAGTTCTGTTCTAGTTCTGTTCTAGTTCTGTTCTAGTTCTGTTCTAGTTCTGTTCTAGTTCTGTTCTAGTTCTGTTCTAGTTCTGTTCTAGTTCTGTTCTAGTTCTGTTCTAGTTCTGTTCTAGTTCTGTTCTAGTTCTGTTCTAGTTCTGTTCTGTTCTAGTTCTGTTCTAGTTCTGTTCTAGTTCTGTTCTAGTTCTGTTCTAGTTCTGTTCTAGTTTCTGTTCTAGTTCTGTTCTGTTTTACTGCTCTGTTTACTGTTCTGTTCTAGTTCTGTTCTAGTTCTGTTCTAGTTCTGTTCTAGTTGTTCTAGTTCCGTTCTGTTCTAGTTCTGTTCTAATTCTGTTCTAGTTCTGTTCTAGTTCTGTTCTAGTTCTGTTCTAGTTCTGTTCTAGTTCTGTTCAGTTCTGTTCTAGTTCTGTTCTAGTTCTGTTCTAGTTCTGTTCTAGTTCTGTTTTTCTGTTTTCTAGTTCTGTTCTAGTTCTGTTCTAGTTCTGTTCTAGTTCTGTTCTAGTTCTGTTCTAGTTCTTTCTAGTTCTGTTCTAGTTCTGTTCTAGTTCTGTTCTAGTTCTGTTCTAGTTCTGTTCTGTTCTAGTTCTGTTCTAGTTCTTTCTAGTTCTGTTCTAGTTCTGTTCTAGTTCTGTTCTAGTTCTGTTCTAGTTCTGTTCTAGTTCTGTTCTAGTTCTGTTCTAGTTCTGTTCTAGTTCTGTTCTAGTTCTGTTCTAGTTCTGTTCTAGTTTCTGTTCTAGTTCTGTTCTAGTTCTGTTCTAGTTCTGTTCTAGTTCTGTTCTAGTTCTGTTCTAGTTCTGTTCTAGTTCTGTTCTAGTTCTTCTAGTTCTGTTCTAGTTCTTCTAGTTCTGTTCAGTTCTGTTCTAGTTCTGTTCTAGTTCGTTCTAGTTCTGTTCTAGTTCTGTTCTAGTTCTGTTCTAGTTCTGTTCTAGTTCTGTTCTAGTTTGTTCTGTTCTAGTTCTTTCTAGTTCTTTCTAGTTCTGTTCTAGTTCTAGTTCTGTTCAGTTCTGTTCTAGTTCTGTTCTAGTTCTGTTCTAGTTCTGTTCTAGTTCTGTTCTAGTTCTGTTCTAGTTCTGTTCTAGTTCTAGTTCTGTTCTAGTTATGTTCTGTTCTGTTCTGTTCTGTTCTAGTTCTGTTCTAGTTCTGTTCTAGTTCTGTTCTAGTTCTGTTCTAGTTCTGTTCTAGTTCTGTTCTAGTTCTGTTCTAGTTCTGTTCTAGTTCTGTTCTAGTTCTGTTCTAGTTCTGTTCTAGTTCTGTTCTAGTTCTGTTCTAGTTCTGTTCTAGTTCTGTTCTAGTTCTGTTCTAGTTCTGTTCTAGTTCTGTTCTAGTTCTGTTCTAGTTCTGTTCTAGTTCTGTTCTAGTTCTGTTCTAGTTCTGTTCTAGTTCTGTTCTAGTTCTGTTCTAGTTCTGTTCTAGTTCTGTTCTAGTTCTGTTCTAGTTCTGTTCTAGTTCTGTTCTAGTTCTGTTCTAGTTCTGTTCTAGTTCTGTTCTAGTTCTGTTCTAGTTCTGTTCTAGTTCTGTTCTAGTTCTGTTCTAGTTCTGTTCTAGTTCTGTTCTAGTTCTGTTCTAGTTCTGTTCTAGTTCTGTTCTAGTTCTGTTCTAGTTCTGTTCTAGTTCTGTTCTAGTTCTGTTCTAGTTTTGTTCTAGTTTGTTCTAGTTCTGTTCTAGTTCTGTTCTAGTTCTGCTAGTTCTGTTCTAGTTCTGTTCTAGTTCTGTTCTAGTTCTGTTCTAGTTCTGTTCTAGTTCTGTTCTAGTTCTGTTCTAGTTCTGTTCTAGTTCTGTTCTAGTTCTGTTCTAGTTCTGTTCTAGTTCTGTTCTAGTTCTGTTAGTTCTGTTCTAGTTCTGTTCTAGTTCTGTTCTAGTTCTGTTCTAGTTCTGTTCTAGTTCTATTTCTGTTCTAGTTCTGTTCTAGTTCTGTTCTAGTTCTGTTCTAGTTCTGTTCTAGTTCTGTTCTAGTTCTGTTCTAGTTCTGTTCTAGTTCTGTTCTAGTTCTGTTCTAGTTCTAGTTCTGTTCAGTTCTGTTCTAGTTCTGTTCTAGTTCTGTTCTAGTTCTGTTCAGTTCTGTTCTAGTTCTGCTTAGTGTTCTAGTTCTGTTCTAGTTCTGTTCTAGTTCTGTTATAGTTCTGTTCTAGTTCTGTTCTAGTTCTGTTCTAGTTCTGTTCTAGTTCTGTTCTAGTTTGTTCTAGTTCTGTTCTAGTTCTGTTCTAGTTCTGTTCTAGTTCTGTTCTAGTTCTGTTCTAGTTCTGTTCTAGTTCTGTTAGTTCTGTTCTAGTTCTGTTCTAGTTCTGTTCTAGTTCTGTTAGTTCTGTTCTAGTTCTGTTCTAGTTCTGTTCTAGTTCTGTTCTAGTTCTGTTCTAGTTTCTGTTCTAGTTCTGTTCTAGTTCTGTTCTAGTTCTGTTCTAGTTTGTTCTGCAGTTTTATCCCTTTTCCTTTAAATTTCACAAAATTAAATTATTTTAATTAAAAACTTTTCAAGTTTACAATTAAAATATCACAACTACTATTTACAGTATTAGTTAGTGATGCTGCTTATGATGGCAGTGGTCTCAAAGGTAAATAACAAATACAAATTTTATATTTGATATTTTCATACAGTTACCAGAAAACTAGTTATTTTTTGTGCTGTAAATCACTAGCATACAAATTATTTTTATCCCGTTTATTTGGAAGTAAATATAAAAATGTTAAATTATGAAAGAGTAAAGCTTTTTCTTTACGCTCTATTTTTATTTGAAGTTCCGTGGAAAAGCGGTAGTAGGGCTTTTGATAGAAAACTATAAATTATATGCAAATAAATTGGGCTGTTAAAAAGGGGGATTTTAAAAGATAAAGAGATTATGTAAAAACCGGTGTTTTTGCTTCTAATTATGCTCACAGGGATATTTCACCTTTTGAGGAGAGGATTTAAGTCATGAATGCTATAAAAAATATCAAATTGAACGACCAAGCACTAGCTGATACAAATCACAAAAATACAGTCACAGAACTATACCCATGCATCCTCATATACATATACCTTTATACCATTTTATTTCTTCTATTCCTTCCAACAGCAAGCAACGTCCTGCCAGGAAGTTGTAGCTGTATTGTTAAACTGGAGGTTTGTTTACAACTAGTAGTTAACTATTGCATTGGAAAGGGAGTTTTAAGCCTTTGGTTAACAAAATATTATTAATAAAATATACAAAATATTTTCCACAGAGTATTTTCAATAAAACAATAAAAATAATTATGCATAAATTAAAATAGGAATATTAATTTATGAATAATTTAGCGAAATTTCATTATTTTTATTCATATTTTTTTGGCACAAAAACTATTAAAATTATCGATCATTTATGTGAATTTTAAATGAAGTGTTTTTAAATTTAATATTTTAAATTTAACGGTTAAGGGAAGGGTAAATTAAATATACAAACTGTTTTTTTAATCTTTATTATAGTTCAGGTTCTAGTCTTTCTTCTAGGCTAATAAGACTAGTTTAGAATCTAGTCTACACTGCAGTCCAGCTTCCAGTCCACAGTAGTTTACTATAATCAAGACAATAGTATAGTTTATACTATAATCTAGTATCTAGTGCAAAGTCTAGTCTATAGTGTAGTGTATAGTATAATCTATAGTACAGACTTTAGTCTAGTCTAGTTGTAGTCTACAGTCTAGTCTATAGTCTAGTCTATAGTCTAGTCTACAGTCTAGTCTATAGTCTAGTCTATAGTCTAGTCTATAGTCTAGTTTATAGTCTAGTCTAGTCTAGTCTATAGTCTAGTCTATAGTCTAGTCTATAGTCTAGTCTATAGTCTAGTCTATAGTCTAGTCTATAGTCTAGTCTATAGTCTAGTCTATAGTCTAGTCTATAGTCTAGTCTATAGTCTAGTCTATAGTCT